GTTAAACTGTTTAATCGCGGTCGTGCACTGACCTTGGGAATCTTATACTGCAGGCAAAATATTGCCCAAAGCACAGAGGCCTATAGTCACATTGAGCTGATAGGAAGGCAACAGTAAGACAAATACCAACTTGTTACAACCAAGGTATGCAGAAGAGCATCTCATTGAAGTAAATGGCCTATGGGAGCAGAAGACCTCACCTGGCCTCTTTGGGATTCGGTGGAACAGAAGATTTACAACAATAAACATATCTGCATCAACTGTGTGATGCTGTAATGTCAGTATGGACCAAAATCTCTGAAGAATGGTTCCAGCACCTTGTTGAATCTATGCCACGAAAGCTCTCCAGCGAGTAGTGCGGTGCTCTGAACGGATAATTGGAGGTGAGCTTCCCTCCCTCCAAGACATCTACAGGAAGCGCTACCTGAGGAAAGCGGGGAGGATCATCAAGGACTCCAGTCACCCCAGCCATAAACTGTTCAGACTGCTTCCATCAGGAAGGAGGTTCTGCAGCATCCGGTCCCGTACCAGCAGACTGAGAGACAGCTTCTTCCATCAGGCCATCAGACTGCTGAACACGTCATAGACACCTCAGCTTCACTACTGGAACTTCAACATTATGCACTCCACACTGTATATAAATGCCACTTGTTTTGCACATATTCAACTCTGTATATTTTATATATTTTATTATTATTATTATTTTTTTTATTTTTTTTTTTTTTACTATTTAATTTGTAAAAATGTGTATACACACACACACACACACACATACACACACACACACACACACACATAGGAAAATATTTAGTATACACATCCAGAAATGCATACACTATTATATATTGTACATATATTTATTAGTTTCAGGTTGGCCATTCTTGTATTTTGCTCATTTGTGTTGTTGTGTTTGCACATCTCTGTTGCTTGTGGGGCTCGCACACAAGAATTTCACTCGCATGTGCTGTGCCAGTGTGCCTGCACATGTGATGTGACAATAAAAGTGATTTGATTTGATTTGATTTGAAAAAACAGCTCTCAAGGCCAAAGGGGATCCAAGCTAATATGAGTAAGATGTAACTAATGAAGTGACCAGTGGCTACATGATGCATATCTTTTTGATGTCTTAAAGAAAACAAAAAGTCAGTGATCTGTTATGTTCATGTTCAGGTATATGAAAAACTGTACCCCTGCTCGTCTTCATCAACTGCCCATTCTCTTTATATGCCCAGAAATTAAAAGTGTAGATTTTATTAGCAGCAGACATCCCTGTGTCTGCTTCATGTCTGAATTATGTGTGCAACTGTCACTGAAATAAGTTTAGAGCTGACTTTCCCCAAAATTGCATTAAACGCTGGGAAAGACTAGTTTACCATGGCTTTGGCTTGTTTCTTTTCTCCACAGCTACACTGATTACTTACACTGATTAAGTGACTGATCTCATTAAGCTAGAAAATTGCAGTGCCAGATCTTCAGGTAACAAAATATGCAGCTTCATCATTTTCTATATTTAGCACACACCATACTGGCTCAGGAGCTAATGGACCCAGCAAATGTATTTTTATTTTTTTTCATCAGTGATGGATTCATGCACAATATGCTCTTTCTAACGCAAATACATCTCAGACCATGCAAGCAAATTAAAACACACCATTTATTCATTTTATGGATCAATATATGTTTTTATATTAAATTCTAGTTGTATAGTATATAGTGTATAGCTTAGTGTATAGCTTATAGGTGCAAGATCCAGCTAATGTGATACACACTTGTAGGTTAACTAAGCTATCTTTCATGGGTGGCAGCTGGCATGTACGCAGTGGGCTTCATAGAACACAGCAGGAGAGCGCAACTTCGGCAACAGTGAGTTTGTATTTAAGAACAGTACATTAAGTAGAAAAACAAACAAATAAAATACAATGCAATACATGAGCTACGTTTATGAGTTAATTCATGAAGTCTGTACTTTGGCGGTTGGCACAATAGCTAGCAGTATACCCTTTCCTGAAAAATGTCGACTTATAAAAATGTTATTATAGTTATGGGGGGAAAAAACAGCGACTGCATCGGCATTCTTTTTTTTTTTTTTTTTTAATCAGTAGCAAATATTGGACTATGCCTGTAAATGTTAGCCCAACTTTAGCTAGGCCAAGATTTTTTTGTTTTTTCTTAAAAGTATATTGCAACAGAAATGTTATGAGTAGGTATCAAGGGCTATCATATATCATAGCCTCATATATCTTAGTTAATATAGTGGTTGTATTGCTAGCTGGCTAACTACTGGGATACCAACCTAGTTCTGCTGGCCAGTAGAAGCCCTGTAAACTAGCTACCCTGGGTTTTCTTAAGTTATCTGTACCAAATTATAAAATATCAGAAACATACATTATGGGAGTAGTAATGGCTTTAACTTCAAATACACACTACCACAATGTAATAGAGAGAAATCTGCAGGTTATGATCTATTTTTATCTTGTCATTTAAGTTATTATCTAATAGAATACATTTCTAGCTGCTCCTGATTTCTTTAGAGACTCCTAGTAAATATTGGAAACAGGTGTAAACAAACATTATATATGGCAAAAACAGCTGTTACAATGAGCTTGAAAGTCAGTATTTGGTACGACTATTTGACCTTTATTTTTCAACACAGTCTGAACTCTCTAAAGCTTTCTTATAAATTCTTTAAGAAGTCTTCAGGAATAGTTCTTCAGGCTTCTTGAAGGGCATTCAGCGCTCTCTTTTGTTCTATTCTCTGTCACAAAGATACAATTTAAAATTGGTTCTGTGTTATTTGTGATGTGTAGTCAGTGTCCAGAGAAGAAAGAAAGACAGTAAGAATAGGACTGGCTCCATGAAAACATAAAGAAATTGGGGGTGGCATAAAACTTTTACAATACTGTATTCTAACCATCAAAATGTTCCTGCTGATGACAATCCTGTGTCTAAAGAAAAAAGGTCAATGGATATTTTTTACGTTGATCTTAAAGTTGTTTAGAGTTCTGTTCATTACATATTGGTTTTGTGTGCTGAAAGCTGTCAAAGACCGTTTTTGTAGTAAATTGCAAAAGTGTGAATACAACAGTAACCTACAATTGCCTAAACCTGCTCCTGTGCTTCACCCTGCTCAGGCTGAAGTAGAGTGTTTTGGCTGTTGCTATCTAAGCCTTTGGAAAGAGTCCAGAGCACAGGTCAGCATTTTCAGAAATAACTATGCCTTTGTTCACTAACTTGAAACTAGAGATTGAGGCTATAAACCAATCAGAAAAGTGTTTACTGAGGTCATAGAGCAAGGAAGCTCACAGTCATTTACATTTGTCCTTCAGTTCAACTAAGTCTTTTTGCAACAAGAGGAATCGCCCCCTGCTGCCATTTAGAAAGAATGCGGGTTAGAGGCGCTTCCACTTTGGCTTCAGTTTTCAGTAATGAAAGTTCTGTTAATTAAAAAAAAATTACATAAAGTTAATGCATGAAAAGAGCAACAGCAACAACAATGCTTTCCTTCCCACAGGTGAATAAATGACGCCATAAAGAGGTAAAGACAGGCACAAACTGGACTAATGTTCCCGTTGTGCTTTATTTACTAGAAAGTCTAAATAGCTGCTCATCTGAGATATTTGCACTAGAGTCCTATAGCCACACTGTTGCATAAACTATTACCTATTTAGTCTGTATTTTATGCACATGGCTTTCAGAGGGCACATGGATCACTCTGAGGGGAGTTTTTATGCAGGATTTGCAACAATTAGTCTGGTTGCTTTGATGGTGAGTCCAAGGCAAGCTCTGGCATACATTTTGTTGCTAGATCTATTAAGCTAGATCCATTAGCCTGATACTAATGGATCTAGCTTAATAGATCCATTAGTATCCGTATAAAATGTCACTCAGATGTGATGCATACAAAGAAGCAAGAAGTTGCATAGAGTCACACAAACACAGAAGGCATCTATGAATATAAAATGTATGCATTCCTATGCATTCCTATGCTGCACTTTACGTTGCTACATCATTCTGCAGAAAGATGATGTTGCAGGGGCGGATGGGGGAATAAATGAGAGAAAGAAAGAAAGAAAGAAAGAAAGAAAGAAAGAAAGAAAGAAAGAGAGAGAGGGGGGGGGGGGGGTTGGTAGACCTACACTCTGGTGATGAACAGTGTGTACAGAATGCAAATGTGTTATATTAATGAATTAATAATAGCTAAAGAAATAATTCATTTTGGAAATAAGATGCAACTGTTGATAAGACAACAAACAAATAAACAAACAGATATTGTCATGTCTGTTGAATATAATGGATTTTATAGTTTGAAAATTGGTTTCCGGATTTGACTCACAATAGGAAAATAAGAAGGATTTTAAGTTAAACCTGGATGTTAGCTTATTAGAACCAAATAAAACAAATTTTATAATCATATGAAGGCACAGCAAGTCAATTTTCCATTAGATGGTGACACAGTCAAAATCAGTTGGAGATTACCTGCAAAAACTGTTAGTAGTTTTTCAAAAATGAATGGTAATGTTGTTTTTTGTTGCACCAAACATCTGTGCATACCCTCTTGATTTGATGGAAAAAGGAAAAGTGGTGGAATGAAGGGGAAGGGAGAGGAGCATGCAGTTTTTATGAGGCGTTCACATCGTTGATGCTTTTCTTCTGTTCTGCTTCTGACAAAACATGAGAGAAACAGGCAGGTCTAATACTTATCACACGGCATACTGTTTCCATGCCACCTTAAAATCGACTTTTGGCCAAGCTGTGCAAAGACTCATCGTAAAAGCATGATGCTGCATATTAGAAACCCGTTTCTGTTTCACAAGCTCCCATTTTTCTCACTTCTGTTCTTCTTCTCTGTCTGTTTCCAGGAGGGAGGTGCCATAGAAAAGCTATTGGCAGAGAGAGGGAAAAAAGACGTGAGAAAAAAATTATTTGAAGGCATTCAGCAGCTTTAGCGCCCTCATCTTTTGTACCTCACTTATGCAAAAACAGCTATTCTGAAAAAAAAAGCCTTTAACAAAGAAGAAAACTGGAGAAAGATGCAGAGCAGCAGGAAGAGGAGGGCATCTGACAGATAAAACGAGGGAGCTCTGCAGCAGGATCCCTACAGTGCTGTACACAGAACTGCGTGACTGGTCTCTGCAAGCAGAGGGAGGAGAGAGGAGAGAAGGGAGGAAGGTAGGAGAGAAAGAAAGGGGGAGGGGAGGCAATTCAGTGCAGTGCTAGCAGACTGGATGAGTAGCAGCCGCGGCATAAGAAGCAACATCAGCACCACTAGCTGTAGCATCTTTCTTTGTGGCTGCTGGAGGCTGTCTTGTGGCTGCTCTACCATCAACAGCCACAAGACATACACACACACACACACACACAAAAATATTTGGACACAGACGCTCCTCGTGCTTGCATCATACACACACATGTCGTGGTGGCCACCAGAGAAGAGGTAGTAAGTGACGGGGCTCGGGGGACAGAGGGACACAGGAAGAGGAAACCGGGACGACTGGTGGTAGTGCAAACAGGAGGAGGGCTGGAGCGACCGTGACTGGAGCAGCAGCAACAGTAGCAGCGGCACCATGGCGCAAGCCGCCAAGCAGCTCCGCAAGACCAAGGACCTTGCGGAGGCCGCCGCCCAGGAGCAGAGGGAGAAGGAGGAGGAAAAGATAAAAAAGAGGAATCGATCCAGGGACCGCAGGCGCAAGGTATGGCTGATTATCTCAAGAGACAGGGGAAATGGCAGTTATTCTTACATCCACCTGCCTTTCTCTATCTCCAGCAGTCTTTCTCTCTCACTGTGCTTGATTGGTTAGGGTGCAATTACACATGTATAATTACACAGTTGGTCTTATGGCCTCAGCTGGTACGTGTGCCTGTGTGTGTGTGTGTGTGTGTGTGTGTGTGTGTGTGTGTGTGTGTGTGTGTGTGTGTGTGTGTGTGTGTGTGTGTGTGTGAGTGTAGGCTAGCCAGTCAAGCACATTTGCTCTGGTACAGGTTGTGTCAGCTCTGTCAGATATTTAACCATGGGGAAAGAAAATTAGGCTTACGATGACTGTTATGCCACTAGAGGTGTGAATAATATGCGCTGCCGGTCAAATAACACGAGCTGTCTTTTTGTTTTTCTTTCACGACATGCGTTTTAGGGGATTTCAGCCTTACAGTGTGTGCACTATATGTATTTGAAGGAAATGCAAGTTAGAGGTACTGCCCAAGCTTATATTTCAATGCAGATTTTTGTCACCACTTACATGGTTTGCATGCTCTACTCTCTCCTTTATATTTGGTGTCTTCCCCCATATTACAGTTTTTTTGTTTTGTTTTTTCATTGGAGGAAATGTAAAATGGAGGGGGAAAATGGAGGTACACTCTAATAATAGATGCAATTTTAATGCATCTGTGTATCTTTTGGGGCATGTTTGTGCTCCGTGTAATGTTCGAAGGAGAGATTGATGGGGATGATTATTTGTAAAGATTTTCAGCACGTAATATTTTTGGTTTAGAAAATGAATATTTTTTGTGTGACAAAGTGTGCACACAGAATATCATCCTTTAGGCACGAGAGCACTCATTCACCCCCTTTCACTTGTCTCCTGGACTCTTCCGCTCTCGCTGTGCCACTGGGTGCAGATTTTATTGGGGTTGTGCCTCCTTGCACTCATGCTTGGCAGCGGTGAAATGATTTATGGAAACACATATTACATTTTAGAGATGTTTATTGAATGATTAAAAAAATATATTTTTATCCATTTCTACATCTGATAACATTATTCCATGATCATAGCCTTTGTATTTAATATTATGCAGTATGCAAGTTTTCTCTCCCTCTTTCAATATTTCTGTAATGTAAAGTTCCTGGATAATGTAAAGGTCTTTGCGTATTCACTGCACAAGAGCTGTGTGTTGTGTGTGTGTATGTGAGAGACAGAGTGTGAAGCAGGGAAAATAGATTTGTCAGACAGACAGAAACAATTATAATACAATTATTTAATATTATTTTAAGTATGAAACTGATTCTTCTGAATGGAAGTATGTGTAGTTTCTGAAGCTGTACAAAATATTTTAATTTTATGATCGGCTTATTTTGCTGGTTTAGTTTTTGTTAATGGTATTGGAAGAATATTGGAATGGGTAAATGGCATAAACATGGTGATGTGTTGAGGTGTCAATTTATGTGATATCGTGACAACCTATATAAATGTACTTACATAGGATAAACATATGGATTGTTCTGCAAAATGACACCCCAGCTTGGTGTTTTACCTCAGGCCTCTCCTTCAGGGAATACAAGTTAACGCCATAATACTTTGTTCGGTTTCACACATTTCCCCTTGTGGGACAATTAAAGGATTATTCTATTCTACATATAGTAATACACATACAGTATAGGACATACATATACACACCCTACAGAACAGCCACCAAACTGGGGCTGGTCCACCGGCACCCTAGTCCATAGAAGACCCAGCAGGAAGGACATAATGAGCCACCAGAGTGTGTGGCGATGATCAGCTAGCCAAAGCATATATCATTTACAGACACCCCTTTAAATAGTACCCATGAGGTTCTCATTCCCCTGATGAAATGTGTTCTTACACTCTGAGGCAAAGAGAGAGCTTTGTTGCTGTAAGCTAGGAACATAGCCTCCACTAGCCTGTGGGAGACCCTCTGTTCAGACAGAGAGCTTTACCTTTGGTGGGATTAGCAAGGCACACAAGCAACTGGTCACATAAACACACATTCTGAGTGCGGTGAATTTGGGTACATAGTACACGCTCCAGGCACAGGGAATGCAGCTCCTCAGATGCAAAAGGAGGGGGAAGCAAAAACTGTAACCATGAATTGTAGTAATAATCTGAAGGAATAAAAATCCCTCATTTGAGCATACTGACCATGAAGCCAACACAAGAGAACTGTCTGCAAAAGGATTCACAATGTATGGTCACTCACTCATTTTGTAGAAGCTAACCTGAGAAACAATAGTCTTATATGAAAGAAGCTTCATATTTATTTATTTTTTCTTTGGGGGGGGGTGCACAAAGGGTCTGCAGCACCACAGCCAAATCTCAAAATGCTGGTGATGCCTAACTACAGATCTCGGGTGGTGGACCCCTTTCAAAAGAATTCGTGGCCAGAGGATTTACACCTGGCATCAACCTGTCAAAGTCGATATGACTGACCAAATATACTTTAATTATTAAAGAAGAAAGAAGATATAACAGCTCCCAGGGAATGTCAAAAAGATCTGCAATAGAGGACTGGAATAGGAGAACATGTCGGTTTTGGTAACATTGCTAAAAGGTTTACTATTTATGACCATGCAGTTTTCTGCTGCATGAAGCCCTAGGACTTTAGACAATCACACTGTGTTTGGACCAGACTGCGTATGGAAAGTGCTGCACCTGCTTGGACTGACAACCTGAACAGAACTTAGGTGGTGCGTCTTGGTTGGTAACAGATGAGAGATGTGTCCCAGCTCCACAGCTAGAAGGACTGAGGCTTCCTACTAGGAATCTCATTTCTTTGCTCTTTGCTCCAGACCAGTTGGTGCGGAACTCAACTTTGAGACTGGGCTCTCACCTGCCATGCTCTCTTGGGGATAGATAACAGAATGGCAACAAGTGATGGCACACATAAACCCTCAGCAGACACCGATTGATCCAAGTGGATGGTCCCTTTTCTATCCAGGACATGAGAGAGGTTCAGCCAGATGCTGCTGTTGTCCTACTCTTAAGGCCCTCAAAGGGCATAGGGGTACTGCTGTACAGCAGGGCCCACAGAGAATGCAATACATGGTTCCTCTGATGTCATTAAGGAGAGGTGCCAGGGGGCTGTCAAAGTGAACCAGTGACTTGAACTCCAGCAGGTGCATTGCAAGGTGACAAAGTTGAGCCCGTTAAATCTGATATCCATAAAGCTGAGATACAGCGAATCTGCTGTGCTTAGAAGAATTAAGAGGCCTATTACACCATGGTTGTGAGATGGGGCCAGATGAGCAGCCAAGTGTGGTTCCCGGAAAGGTTTAGATAGTGAATTAACTAAGCCAGCTTTCTCTGCATTGCCCAGCTCCAGAAATGGTCCGTAGCTGTTCACAGTAATGCAGGTAGACAGTGGTTAGCTTCATGAAGCTGTTAGCTCACAGACAAAATCAGGGAATATGGGCAGGTGTTTTTTTTTCTGAGACAGTACAGGATCCTAGCCGCAGCTTCTTGCCTGTATGGTGAAACAGCTCAAGCTGTAGCTAGCCAGTGACTTCACAACCTCAAGAACGAGCATCAACATACTCCAGTTGGTAAGCCCAACTAGTCTTGGGTTCATTGAATGGACACTCCTTACTAGGAGAAGGTCATGCTGTTCAACATCAGTCTTTTCTGGTCCTTTTCCACAAACATCACTTGTTTTTCTAGTGTTGAATGCTGGCAAGAAAACACATGTTTCTGGCTTAGTCAGTGCTCTCCTAGCATGGACAGTCCCCAAGCAGATCGGACATGCTTTGTGCTGGTCTTCATCATGCAAAGAGAAACCACTTCCATAAGGACATGGGTGAATAGAAGATTTCTTCTTCACTTGCTTTGGTTTGGTACTCATATCTAAATGCAAATAAAAAAATGCTTGGAAACATGGAAATTAGTCCACATGAGGACTACACCACTGGTAATCAAATTAAAAAGGGTAAATTTAACTAGGAAGGAATAAAATATAAATTAAGGTTAAAAAGGAAATAACTGTACAACACAAATTAGAATGAAGGGTAAATTTAACTGGGAAAGAATAAGATAAAATATATAAATTAAAGTTGAAAATAAAATAACTGTACAACAAAATACACAATATAGAACTATATAAGAATGTATGAAGAAATATAAATAAATATATACACAATAACAGCAGCTGTACAAGTATTAACTGGAAATGAAGAATATAATGTCCAGTGTTGTGCAATCCACATTATGTCTTCTGCAGTGCAAATATGCACCGCCTGCTGTAGATTGAGTGCAGGTCAGGGAGCTCGGAGCGGATGGTGCGCTCAGCTGATCACACAACCCTCTGTAGAGCTCGTCTGTCCTGCATGGTGCTGTTTCCGAACCAGGTTAAGATGTTTCCTGTCAGGATGCTCTCTATGGTGCACGAGTAAAAGTTCCTGAGCACCTTGGAGGGCAGTTGGAAGTCTCTCAAGCGTCTGAGGTGGTAGAGACGCTGACGGGCCTTTTTCACCACGGTGTTGATGTGACAGGACCATGACAGGTCCTGCGTGATGTGAACTCCGAGGTATTTGAAGCTGTCCACTCTCTCCACTGGGCACTCGTTGATGACAGGGGTCTGGTAGTTCCTTTCCTGCTTAGTGCTGAAGTCCACTATCAGCTCCTTTGTCTTACTGACATTTAGAAGGAGGTTGTTCCTCTGGCACCAGTTCTCCAGATTCCTAATCTCCTTCAGGTAGGCCGTCTCGTTGTTATCAGAGATCAGGCCCACCACGACGGTGTCGTCAGCAAACTTGATGATGGTGGTGGAGCTGGTAGTGGCCACACAGTCATATGTGTACAAAGAGTACAGCAGGGGGCTCAGAACACACCCCTGGGGGGCTCCAGTGCTGAGAGTGGTGGAGGCTGAGACATGTCCGCCCATCCTTACTGCCTGTGGTCTGCCAGTTAGGAAGTTGGAGATCCACTGACACATAGATGAGCTGAATCGTAAACTCTTTTCGAGT